GAAGAGAAATTTTATGCTGGGCAATTAATCTAATTTCGGTATAGGTAGTGTCTATATAGTTTAATCTTGTTCGGAAAAAATCACAACATAAAATTATTTATCATGACCCATAGATGCAAGAGAACATGAGTTGATCATTTGCTTTTATAGTTACACTAGTTACCACACGCATTGCACGGATAGTTTGCTGTCTAATGTGTATTTTTAAATTAGTGTTTCAGAATTATCAAAGTATCATTTGATATCCTTACATATATCAATGCAAGATTATCAAATTGTTGGGAGAAGATTATCAAATTGTTCATAAAAGTAAATATTTTAAGAATACATAACTATACATGTGGCAGAAATGTTGAATTAATTAACCATAAAAATTATGAATCTACAGTATAGAAATTATGAATCTACAGTACAAAAATTATGAATGTGCAGTATAGAAATTATGAATCTACATTATACATTATATGAATCTACAGTATAGAAATTATGAATCTACAATATAGAAATTATAAATCTACAGTACAGAAATTATGAATCTACAGTACAGAAATTATGAATCTACATTATAAATTTTATGAATCTACAGTATAGAAATTATGAATGTACAATATAGAAATTATGAATGTACAGCGTGTCCACTATGTACATGGTGGACACGGGTCCATAGCATAACGATTCGTACTTTTGTTTTTGTTTTTTATTTTATTTTTAAAATTTTAAAATAAAAGAGTGATAATTAATTGGTTTAGGAAGATTTGTTTTTAGAAATAATGAAATTACCAATATGCCTATGATATTTATATTTTAATTAAAAAAGTATAGTTTTACACAAATATAGAAACTTAATAAGAGTAATTGTTTGTTTAAATGAATAGTTTATATTATTTTTTTTGTTAGATGACAAAAAATGATCATGTCACGATAATACTAAGATCAAGATTGGATGTTTTGAAAAAAAAAAAAAAACTAAAAGTGGACTATCACCTATAAATCTAGAACAAAAAATGTAATTAACTCTTACACATACATATAAAACTACTATATTATGATTATGACATATTTATTATGGTATTATAATTATGGTGCGATATTTCTAAAATAAATACATCATTATAATTCTGTAATTAATTTCTTCATTGTATTCATATTGGTCAAAGTATCTCTGAGGTCCCTGTACTATAATATTTTGTTCAATTTAATCTTTTTACTTTAATTTTGGTCATATTAGTCTCTATACTTTAAAAAAATTGAAACAGTTAAGGAAAATAGTCGATGTGAGCAAATATTTATGTATTTATTTTGGACATATTAATGTAATATATTGGTACTAAAAATAATTAATTTTAAATATTTATAAAATAATATATGAGTTGGCATATTAGTATAATGACGTGGTAAAGATAATGCTAGCGCCACATAAGTTATTGTTCTTAATTGTTTTATTGTTTAAAGTACATTGACTAAATTGAACAAAATTAAAATAGAATGACTAAATTAAACAAAATACTATAGTACAAGGACCTCATAGATACTTTGAACTATTCATATTGTATTAATTTCCTTAACTATAATTTTGCATAGTAAATTGTTTGTCTCCTTGCTATATAAAAACGAAATTTCCTTTTAATAAATTGATTGACGTGTAAAAAAGAATGATTGACGTAGTTGCCAAATAAAAATTACTCCGTCTTTTACTAATTTTTCAATATATATCATATAAGACTAGTATTTTGTTATGCACGATGTGCAAAAAATAGGTGCCCACTATTAACAAATTATATTAAAATTTTAAATTTATTTAAATTTTAAATATTTAAATTATTGTAAATAATAATACCAATAATGTAAAATATTTTTATAAATTTGATATTTATATTTTAGATAATAATTAACCTATAACTCAAATATATAATGTGTATATATTATTATTAAAGAAGAAGATAAGAAAACATATGGTGGATGCATGTGTATGGTAATAATAGTGGAAAAGATAATGGAAGTTATAATGGTAGGGGTACATTTGTCCAAAATATTTTAAAGTATAACTCTTATAGCATAATATATAAAAAAACTTAACGGAAAAAACGGACATAAATGAAGAATATAACAATCATTCACACTTATTATGTTTTTAGATTAGAAAACGTGTTTAATATATATAAAATATCTAATAATACAATGTATTTTTATAAAAATGGAAGGAAAAGTAATAGCACTAATGTCATTATGTTATATATACATATATTATATGCATATATATAGGCATATAGCTCACCAGTTATAGCTATTATTAAATTCATAATTTTTTGAATTAATAATTTGTTTTAAATTTAAACCGTAAATAATTACATCTCCTTATAATGAATAGTTTTATATGTATATGTAAGAGTTAATTCCGTTTTTTGTTCTAGCTAATATACTAGATTGATTTATCATAGTATTCAGTAGTTTCTTGTCTTGAGGCTAGCTGTTACTCCACTACCAAATTAAATTATATACAATATTAATTTCCTTACAATTTCATTTATATTTAGAAAGTATGACTACATTTTCTATACACCGTGACAACATGTCATTTGATGAAAATATTGTGTTTGAGCCTCCTTCATGCTTAAAGGTTATTATTTTCGTATTTTATTCAACAATGAAATTTTAATGTGGTTTTATGGGGATAGATTGTTTATTTGTAAATTTGCGAGCACATTTGTCTAATTTATATAAATCCAAAACAATGATATTTAAACACCAAAATTTCAGCATTGCATGTGTACATATACACATTAACTATTAATTCAACAATTATTTGTTCGAATTCAAGTCAAGATAACATCAAAAAAACATAATCGATCCAAATCATCTCTTCAATTACACTATATAATATTGTGATGTTATAATTTATATAATTATATATCGATCTAAATATTTGTAATATATTATAACAAATCCATTTCGTACGTGAAAATACTAGTAAAATAATGAATAATAATCGAGCCATGATGGAGTGATGGACACTAGGAACTGATTATTTCCATTAGTCGCCCGATGGACACTAGGAACTGATTATTTCCATTAGTCACATTACTGGGGCTAAGGAATTTTACCTCTTTGGAAAGAATAATCAATAATTTTATTTGATGGTCTGGAAAAGGAAATTCCGGTAAATGATGAATAATTTCACGGAAATTCCTGAAAGTATATTATATAAAACCGTGTATGCATGCTCACGTAAAATCATCATTGTTTAATGCTAGGTTTTATTATCATAGTATTCAGTAGATTCTTGTCTGTTGGGTTTTGCTCCACACCCAAATGGGAAGCCAGAAGAATCTGAAGTTCTTGATCTATGGGAAAACTGGGATGATTGGGGGCATGTTGGGGAAGTTGTGTGAGAAACAAGGCATCCCTTTCGAGTACGGGAAGGCCCGTTTGGAGGATCGGTCTCAGTTGCTGTCGGACATGGCCGGAGTCAACCCGACACACGTCTTGAACGCCGCCGGGGCAACCGGCACGCCCAACGCCGACTGGTGCGAGTTCAATAAACTGGAGACAATTCGGTCCAACGTTGTCGGGGTGTTGAATTTGGCCGATGTTTGTGAGGAGAAGGGTGTCCTGTTGCTGCACTTTGGGAGTGGTTGTATCTATGATTATGACTCGGAGCACCCGATGGGTTCGGGTGTCGGGTTCACCGAGCAACATAGATCTAACTATGATGGTTCCTTCTACTCTAAAACTAAGGGCATGGTAACATTTCTTGTATTATTATTATTTTTTTGATCGAGGACTGAAACTTACATTGGTTATTCGAGAGTGTATCTGTACAGACAGACGATTCAGCCTCATAAACTTAATTGATAAAAGTTATCTCTGACAACATGAGTTGAATTTGTATTGTAACCTTGTATTTACTGAGAGATTCGATCTTTAATCGTTGCAGGTGGAAGATTTGTTGGGGGAATACAAAAACATATGTGTCCTGAGGGTTAAAATGCCGCTAATCTCCGACCTCAACCATCCTCGTAACATAATAAAGAAACTCCTAGGGTACGAGAAAGTGGTGAATATCCCAAACAGCATGGCGGTGTTGGATGAGCTGCTTCCAATGGCGATCGAGATGGCCAAAAGAAACTGCAAAGGGATATGGAATTTTACCAACCCTGGCGTCATATCCCACAATGAACTTCTGCAATTGTACAAAAAGTATGTTGACCCTGCTTTGACTTGGACCAACTTTACCTTGGAAGATCAGAGGAAAGTTCTTGCTGCCGCTCGTTGTAACAACGAGCTTGATTCTTCGAAGCTGAAGCGTGAGTTTCCTGAGTTGTTGAGTGTCAGAGAGTCATTGATAAAGTATGTTTTTGAGCCTAACACCAAAAATGTTTGATCCTTAAACACAGGGCAATAATCTTTGTAGCGTTTGGTCAAATAAAGTTGATGATGTCTTAATGTTTTGCAGTTTGTGTTGTGGTGATTCAGGAATAAGGGAACAGTTTCCCATATAAAATAGGTCATTGGTGTTTGGACTTTGGAGTTTGCATAATATATACTCTTTGTTGTTTCAATTTACTCTTGTAACGCAATTTTACTCAATTTAGTTAAAATATTTTAAACTATATAATATAATTATAATTAATAAACTGTTAGTTATGTGGCACAAATCCACTCACCATCCTCCAGCACTCACGTACTGCATGCCGCACCATCACCCACGTAATGCACATGTTCCCATTATTCCATGCGCATTTGTCTCCCTTTTTCTCTTAATTGGATTCTATAAATAGCCTTAGGATGATTTTGCTCATTTCATTACACATCAATTTATTGAATTCATTTGCTTTCTTTTCTCTCCTAGAGATATATATAATTACATTTATGTAAAAACATGGCTTAAAATACAAACGTGTGAACATTTCTGGATAAAAGCTAAAGATAAACAAATCTTTATCAAATTTATTAACTACACCACAAGATTCTCAAAAGTTGTAACCCAAAGAAAAGCATAATTATTGGAACCATTTGAGTACTTAATAACACAAGTACTGACACAACACATACTGCCAAACATTAACACACGACGCAATTATTTGACATATATATATATATAATGCTACAACATTAACTTTAGAACTGGGAGATTGGTCGGTGGTCTTTTGTTCAAGGATCAAACTTTTTGCTGTTAGGCTCAAAAACATACTTGATCACCGATTCCTTGACTCCTAACAGCTCAGGAAACTCACGCTTCAACTTAGAGGAATCAAGCTGGTTGTTACAACGAGGAGCAGCAAGAACTTTTCTCTGTTCTTCCAAGGTAAAGTTGGTCCAAGTTAATCCAGGATCGACGTATTTTTTGTACAATTCCAGAACTTCATTGTGAGTTATGACACCTGGGTTGGTGAAATTCCATATCCCTTTGCAGTTCCTTTTAGCCATTTCAATTGCCATTGGCAGCAGCTCGTCCAACACTGTCATGCTGTTTGGGATGTTCACCACCTTCTCGTATCCTAGGATCTTCTTTATGAAGTTACGAGGATGGTTGAGATCGGACAGTAGTGGCATTCGAACCCTGAGGATGCATATATTGTTGTATTCTCCCAAAGGATCCTCCAGCTATAAAAGGTTAAAAGATAGTTTTTCACTTTTGGTTTCACGATTATATAACCATTTTCACATTTAGTCTCGACTATTATTATTATTATTTGGTCCATCCAACTTTTTTTTTTTTTTTAATCACTGGTAACCGAACTTCAGACAAGTGACCTATCTTGAAGGTCAAAATTGTCATTTTCGATCTCCTCCTCGAAAAGTAAGAAAAAAGGTCAATTTTGTCCATTAAGATAAATCATCGGTGATAAAAAAAATTAGGTTATAGAGAACAAACGAGACAGATTTAAAAGTTATTGGACCAAATGTGAAAAATTAATACTCCGCAAACAAGGACAAAATATATATGAAATGTTCACATAGTTGTGGAATCAAAATTTTTTTCTTTTTTTTTTTTGAAAAAAAAAAAAAAACTAGTTAAAGACTAACTTGAGTTTTAGGCTATGTTCGGTAAACCTAGCTGAAAAATTAAAAGGAGTTAAAAGCTGAAAAGTTACAATCTTGGAGCTGAAAACTGAAGAGTTGTTATGCTTGAAAGTGTTTTACCTTTGATAAAATAAATGTAAAAAGATAAAAAATGACATCTCGAAGAAAAATAATTAAAAGTGTGATTGGAAAAAATGTTACCATGCCCTTGGTTTTAGAGTAGAAGGAGCCATCATAGTTGGATTTATCATGCTCCGTGAACGCGACACCCGAACCCATCGAATGCTCCGAATCATAATCAAATATGCAACCAGTTCCAAAGTAGAGCAGCAAGACACCCTTCTCCTCACAAACGTCGGCCAAATTCAAAGCCCCGATAACGTTGGACCGGATTGTCTCCAGTTTATTGAACTCGCACCAGTCCACATTGGGCGTGCCGGTCGCCCCGGCGGCGTTGAAGACGTGTGTCGGGTTGACTCCGGTGATGTCGGACACCAACTGAGACCGGTCCTCCAAACGGGCCTTTCCATACTCGAATGGGATGCCTTGTTCCTCACATAACTTTCCCAACATGCCCCCAATCATTCCAGTTTTGCCATAGATCAAGAACTTCAGATTCTTCTGCTGCTTTTGGTTTGCCATTATATTTGGGAATAGAATTGAAGCTACTGAATAATATGAAAAGTGTATGTAGTAACGTATATATTATAGAGGGACGGGACACGTATTTATGCAATCGTTATGCTATAGAACCGTGTCCAGCATGCATGCAGAACACGGTGACGAATGATGGACACCGTAACGGTGCCGGCACCGTTCTCTTCCACTTTTTTTTTTTTTTTTTTTTCAGACCATTTTGTTATAGGAGTATATGTTTACAATTTTATCACTATATTTTCATAATGTCAGAGCTCTGTGTTCATAATTGCATAACTGTACATTCATAATTGCATAACTGTACATTCATAATTACATAACTGTACATTCATAATTGCATAACTGTACATTCATAATTACATAACTGTAAATTCATAATTGCGTAACTGTACATTCATAATTACATAACTGTACATTCATAATTGTGTAACTGTACATTCATAATTACATAACTGTACATTCATAATTGCGTAACTGTACATTCATAATTGCGTAACTGTACATTCATAATTGCGTAATTGTACATTCATAATTTTCGAAACTCTATGTTCACAATTTTAGAGCTCTATGTTCATAATTTTATCACTATATGTTCACAATTGTAAGTCCATATTGTCAGAGCTCTGTGTTCATAATTTAATAACTTACATTCATTATTCCATAACTGTACATTCATAATTGCATAACTGTACATTCATAATACCACAAACGAATAACGCCGTTAATGACGAGACAAAATCAATTTTTTTAAAAGAATTAAAAGGCCGAATTTTCCCTTAAAATAACATCGTTTTGGACTCGTGTCCACAGCATAATTTGCGGTATTTATGCATGCAGATCAATAATGTAGTCATGGGGAGAAGTTGAGGGCCTGTTGTATATAAGATATTTTAATGCATATATATATAATATACAATCGTTATATCGTGCATCAGGGCACACACTGCAGCCCGGCCCGGCGCACAATGCAGATCAATAATGTAGTCTTGGGAAGAAGTTGAGGAACCGCTGTATATAAGATATTTTAATGCATATATGATATGCAACCGTTATATCGTGCATCAGAACACACACTGTGCGCCCGGTCCGGCCGCCCATCACCACTCAGTCAGTCAGTCACTTCTTTTAAGTGTTAATAAATAAATATTTTAAATAAAATGATATTAACGTGCGAGAAACTTTATCCCATCAAATATTTGAAACCACATATTTCCACCCACCGCATTGAAGGTTTGATTCTCCTTGTCCACATGCAATTTGTAGGGTAAGTTTAATTAATATTGATTTTGGCCTTATTTGACCATACTAGTTTTAAAATAAATGCACATTGCACAACTGATTTAATAATTTCGGTATTTGTATTTAAATAAGTAATTTAAAGTATATCAATGCAAGATTATATTTGAGAAGTTCGTTATAATTAACATTAAATTAATTTTTGTATTTTTTTTAAAAAATAATTATCTAAATAGTTATTGTAGTTGGTAAAGGAATTAGGTAGTAGTCACTATTTTTTGTTGAAATCACTTTAAATTTTGTTAATTCGCTTTTGGATATGTTTGCCATTGTCTTCGTTTTCATTGCTTGTCCATTATTTTTTTGGTAGTGTATTATATGTAATTGAGTTACTGGTGTTAGTTTGTAAAAAGAACATATTTGAATCTAAAATAGGTCAACAATATTATTGTTTTTTTGGGTGATTGTTGTTTCAGTTTCATAATTATATTGGATTTAAATGTGCTGGCTTTATTGTATGAGTTGCAAACATTAATAGTGTCAGAATAATGAGTATGCATTACTTACACAAATTGAATGCTGAAAATACCAAAAGAAGAAATAGAGAATGGACAAAATCATATCATTGGCGTAACTCTTTCACTTATATCCAGAAAAGGGACTAAGCTAAAGGGAGTCAATGATACACACTACCTTCAATCTGATTCGTTCAATCAAAAAAACATTTGAAGGCTAAACAAATTTTCCAAACTCTAGAGGAGTCATTCCACCCTCTACAAAGCTACCTATTCATCCAAATCAATTCTAAAAAAAAATACAAATTTAATTGCTCTTTTAAATGCTCGCTAAAATCCAAAAACTCATTGGTACAAATGGGTGAGTATATGTCATTGTTGGAGATACGAATTGAAGCACATCCACTCGCCTGGGAAGGTAGTCGTGTCACATTATTACTCGCATCTTTGCTATTCAACGTAACGTAACGTACGCGTGAACATAAATAGGATTTGTTGGTTTTGATTTTCAGGTGTCTAAATATATTAATGTGGTACAATCCTATTTATTGGTTTTGATTTTCAGGTGTCTAAATATATTAATGTGGTACAATGTTTGGTATCACCGAATAAAAGTAATGATGAAATGAAGTCACAACCATATACATGCATGTCTTGCGCGAAAAAAGTATGCAATATAGTTGTGCCTATGGATAGATAGCCAGATGAGTCTAAGTCGAGAGTAACATATTTATTGGAGATTTGGGGTAGAAATTTGAAAGGTCGAGCCCAACATCCTCTTATAAAAATGTATCGGGTTAAAGATTTAAAGTTATATTATGTCTTCACTATCAACTGTAGTTTTGTGTATTGTTAAGAATTTGATTTGACAACCAATAATTAGGACATGGGTTCCAACTGTCAAGACTGTACATATCCTTTAATTTCTACCTCTTATAATTAAAATATTATTGTGAATTCATTATTCTACTTTGACATATGCCCTACCATTCAACCACCCTGGTCATTAGCAATTCCTAGCTAAACCATCCAGTTCTGTAAGCAACTTTTTGGGGTTGGAGATTCAACTTTTTGAGAGAAAAACATAGCAGACAGTTATTGATTAAGGAATAATGAATATATGGATTGACAATCTGCAGAAAATCTCATTGCAGGATTCAAACCATTGACAATGATCAGATTGCTTAAATAAATTGGTCTCATCAGCCAATAATATGACCATTATCTTCTCTGGTATCTGACTCTCCTCCCCATCTTTTTATTCTGTCTCCAGCTGCAAAAGCCTACATATATATATATTTCACAAATCAGAAGTGAAATCAACTCTTTCCGGTAATTATATTAAGAGATAATACCAGCTACGATCATATTGTAGCACCGTCATGTTTAGTCCTAGATCATTCAACTAACTTTCAAGTCACACCATAATCGTTCAACTTTCAAGTTAATCGCCCTGGTCTTCAAATTTCAAACATTTAACTAGTCATTCTAACTTTGCCATTACTTAAACTAACAGAGGTAGTTAAATTTGAAAGTTAAAGGACCAGTACATGTGATTAAATTAAAAGTTTATGACTGTTATTATACTCGGATGACCTTAATTGATATTAACTCTTATATTAATGATAATTAAGGTACATACCTCCTTGTTCCAATCTGTTCTTAGTATCATCCATATCAATACTAAGGTTTGTACTGTAGTCCCAATCACCATTCCGTACCAAATGCCCTGAAAATCATTTGCTGTCAATATACAATATTACGTTGACAAAGTAGAGCAATTTTTAAGATGACAATTGACACTAATGCATTTTTTGAATGATAAGAAAAATTCAAAAGTCAATTTTTAAAGATGTGCACCCGGTAAATCTCGCATTCTAACACTAGTTCATAAAAGATCACAAAGAGGTAAACAAATACCATGACGCTGAGCTTGAAAACGAAACCCAAAACGAGGCCAATAGGGATGCCAATGATATAATAGCATGTTATGTTGACGTATGCAACGTAAGCTTGCCACCCAGCTCCAATGGCGACTCCTGCATGCATGCATGCAATTCTTGATTAAGAAATACAGAAAAGAGATTATACAGATTGACGAGGGTATGAATAATGTACCAGAGAGGGTAGGTTGAAGGCTGTTAATGGAGACGCTGCAAGCTAACAAAGGTGTAAGCTGGTACACGAGTTGTTGGACCCTCGGACTATCCGAAAACAGCGGCGGGTATTGTTTTCTTACGAGGATTAGAAGGAATCCTAGGACGATGCCAATTAAAAGTGAAGTGATTGAGGCTACCACCACTGAGAATTTTGCACTTCTTGGATGCCCTTCTCCTAGCTCGTTTGATACTCTTACACTGCCATTAATTTACTCTATTTATTTAAATTTGAATTGTCTAATGGGATGTGAATGATATGAGCAATATTTACAGACCTTATAGCTGCATTGAATCCAAAACCCACCATTACTGTCCACGCTAAGATATTCATGCTGCACATTGACAGTTCATGGCAAAAAAAAATGAATGAATCAATCAATTATGATATAGCCTTTTTGGGAGTGAATATGTAACTTTATTTCTTTATTATATATATATTTGCGTAGTAGTTACAAACACATTTCAATGATATGATACTGGACTACAGGTTGATGTACAGGCTTAAAGGTGCCTCCTACACTCCTACAGTTAGGACCTACTTAGTACAGCTCGTGGTCTGACAAAAAAATGATATGGTACTGGACTCCACTCTCCAAACTGTTACTCAATAATTTTAAGAGTTCTACTACAAGAACTTCCAAATCTTTGATGTGGCGGACTCTTGATAAGTTACTTTTTTCATGTGAATCTCAATACTAAGGGTCTATATCGAGATTTTGTATGGGGGATTTACTATATAGAAATATAGCACAACACAACATAACTAATGTATTATGCAAAATTAATTTAGATAAAATTACTCACCATATAGAAACTGCATCAACAGCTATTTCTGCATCTTTAAGGTATCCAGCGAAGAGAATAAGAGACATGTAATACCACATCTCTAAGCTGCATGTTTATACAAAGCACATTAGTTAATTACCAGACAACGCAGTTGACTAACTGCAAAACACAACATAGTGGCCCTGTTTGGTAAAATGGGGATAGCTGTTAGATGTTAGCTGATTGTGTTAATTAGAGGGTATAAATAGTTGATAACATTAGCTGATTGTAGAAAAGTGTTTGGTAAATTAGCTGTTAGCTGATAGCTGTTTGGTATAATTTCTTTTCTCAAAAAGCTAATTGAAAATGTTGCTTGAAGTAGCTTTTTGAATTTTAG